TTGTTGGTCCAAGGTGAGGGCCTTCTGATCCAATAGAAACCACAAGCTCTTCTAGTCTGACCCGATGATGAACTTTCGGCCCAACAAGTATGGCTGCCATTTTTGGACTGCCAATACAGTGGCCATCAACTCTTTAATGTAGGTGGACTAGTTTTGAGCCCATGCAAAGAGGGCCTTGCTAAAGTAAGAAATGGGTTTTACATCTGCATAAGCATAGCTCCAACCCCTATCCCTGATGCATCATCACATTCAACTACAAAGGTATCCTCAAAATTCGGGAGGGTGAGGACCAGTGGACTGACCATGGCTTTCTTTAGTGAGTCAAAGGCTTGTTAGACTTGCTCGGTCTAGGTAAATAAGCCCTTCTTCAAGAGAGTGGTTAATGGGGCTGCGACAGTTCCATAGTTGCAGATGAATCTTCTATAGTAGCCGGTTAGGCCCAAGAACCCACGTAAGGCCTTAACCGATTTCAGGGTGGGCCAGGCCTGAATGCAGGATATCTTGTTTGGGTCAGCCATGACCCGGCCATCTATAACCACATGGCCCAAATAGAGGATCCTGGTATGTCAAAAAACACACTTTGAGAGAATAGAAAATAGTTGATGTTGTTTAAGCAAACCCAAGGTCTATCTCAAGTGTTGTAGGTGAGAACCCAATCCCAATTGTATACCAAAATGTCATCAAAGAAAACCAGAAAAAAACGCCTAGAAGGTAGAAGGGGTGTTGGACAGCCCAAAAGGCATAACCAGAAATTCAAAGTGGCCATCATGGGTCCAAAAAGCAATATTGTATACATCCTTAGGGTGAACCCTGACTTGCTGATAGCCGGTAGTCTACATAGAAACACCATGACCCGTCTTTCTTTTTAACAAGGAGCATCGATGAAGAGAATGGGCTTATGTTGAGTTGTATCCATCCCTTCTCTAAGAGTTCCCTAACCAGCACCCCAATCTCAACGTTTTGGAAGTGTGGGTATCTGTAGGGCCCCACATTAGCAGGGATAGCCCCGGGGACCAGGGGAATTCAATGGTCCTGAAACCAAGATGGAGGGAGTTGGTCTGGTTCTTTGAAAACTTCAAGGAACTGGTTTATTACTTTCTATAGTTCAAATAAGTCCCTTTCAGGGGGGGTGAGCCTCATTTTCAAGCCTCAATAGTGGCCCAATAGGTACTAGGCCCATTTGCATTAACAGTAGTTGTTCACCCCCAAATCCCCCCTTAAGAATGGAGTGCAAACCCTCCATTGAAGGGACAGGTGTCCCCTGGCCTTGCAGATGACATAGATGCCCATCACAATAGAAATCCATGGTCATGTGTCCCCAGTCACAGAGGACCGGGCCTAGCTAGCCCAACCACCGTATACCCAATACAACATATGTCCCACTAGAATCTAGGGAATGCAGATCCACAATGAATGTATAGCCCTGGATCATCAGTTTTTCATTCTTATAGACACTTTCACATCCAACGTGATTACCATTAGCAACTCGAACAACAAATGGAGTAGTGTAGAGGACCGTCATACCTAATTGGCRAGCCACAACTCTGGTGGTGAAATTCAATGTGCTCCCACTATCAATAAGAACAGACACCATGCGACCCATGAGCTTACTGGTCACCCTCATGGACTTGGGCGACATCAATCCAATAAGAGCATGAAGGGATATTTCTGGGTTATCATACGAGGTGATATCATGCTCCTTTTCTTCCTCAACTAGTTCCAGACCATTTTCTTCGCCACCCTCTCATTGTAGCAAAAACATCTTTTGGGTTTCACACCTGTCCTAGCCCAAATCGCTTGTAAGCCTCCGATGAAGCAGCCGACCAATGCCTTCTCCGGCCAGCCGTATACTCTGGTAGCTAGCCGTTCCAATTCAACCTAGTAGTCTCACACTGATCTGATCTGTTTCACTCTGGAGAGCATCTTGTTGTAATCATCGTACCCAGTAGGCCCAAACCGAACACACGCCTCTGAAAACTCCAGCCATGAAACTTGGGGTAGGGAGAGCCTGAACCACTTGAACCACAATATTATGTCCCCCTCCAGATGGAATGAAGCAACAGTTACACATTGGTGTCTCGGAACTTCATGATACTCAAAATACTTCTCAGCCTTGAAAATCTAGGGAATTGGATCTCCTCCATAGAAAGTTGGGAAGTCTAGTTTAGTGACCCTTCCAGGAGCAAAGTTGCTCCTCCCAGCCGACGGCAATGATGGACTTCTCCTTCTGCAATGCCACCACCATCACTGCTTCCTTGATTTCTCTCAGCTTGGAGACCACCCAGTGGAGATCGATTTCAATCTTGTCCACCCTTTCGTCTAGGGTCACCGAACGGGTGTTAGTCATCTTCTATTCCACAGGGATGCTAAGCTATGATACCAATCTGATGAGATACTGCTCACCACCAGGAGTCTCTTCAAGGGAGACCTGACCTCCTAAAACAGAAATGGGGTAGGGAAGAAGAGAGAGAGAGAGAGAGAGAGAGAGAGAGAGAGAGATTCGAATTCAGTTCCCATGCATTCATTCATTCAGCCAACCTATATATAGTGGCTTGTCTTATAATCAAAATATCTTAACAAATTCTGTCAGTCATAACGGATTCAGGCAGAGGGACCAGCTGACGTGTTGTCTGATGATGCATGGGGCTGAACTAGCTTCCTTCAGTTCTGCCTCCGGCAAGTTTGAGTGATTGGAGGTCTGGGCTTCTAAGTTGGAACTAGGCGTTGATTCTCATCAAATTCCAATACAATAATGCCACCCTCCAAAGTTTTATACCATGTAAGACCAAGTAACTCCCTAGGGGTTCTTGTTTGATCAGTCTATCTTCAAGATCTTTTCCTTTTCTTTTTTTCCCCAATTCCATTTTCATGAATTTCTAGTATCCAAATTTGAGATCACTCTCAAACTAATACAAAAATAAACATCAAACAAGAAACCAACAATATACTTAAAATGATCAAAGATTCTAAATCCATATTAGCATCCAGATCCAGGTGCTAATAATACCCCCTCCCGAAAAAGTTAAATAAGACATGACAAAGAAAAAATTACCATTAAACCCATCCAATCCAAAAGTAAACGCAATTGGCAGCTAACTTCCATGACAATGAAGCACTAAGATTCTATTTGGTTACATGAAGGAGGGGGGGGGACCATTTTCTGAAAATCACTATCTTAAAGTGTTTAGTTGCATGTAAAATGGAAAATGCATTTTTTTCCAAAAAAAAAGTGAGTACAAATTGCAGGATATGATACAAAAATGACATTCCTTTAACTTTCTGCAAGTCATTCCCCAAAACAAGGTCAGTGTTTTGCTATGTATCTTGCAGCCCTCATACATTTTTCAACTATTTAAATGTGTTTAATTTAAGCAAAGTGCCAGGAAAAACTAGGAAAAAAACTTCGTTTTCCTAGTGAACATCATTTTCAAAGGAAATCATTCATTTTAGGTGCGACCAAAAGCAGGCTGAAATGACGAAGCATGAATCCACAACTCAATACAAACCAAGCTCTTCAAGGAGTGGAAGAGCTTAAAGTAACATAAGTCTCCCACAGTATTATCAAGCAGTGAGGTGATGATTAGTCGTTTTGACATCTAGCTGATGTAATTATTAGTTAGTGTTTAGACCCTGACTAGTCAATGAGAAAAGAATATATTCTTAATTTAAGATATTGATGTAATTCAATAAATAAGTCAATATAGATTACAACTATATAATAAAAGAGTGATATTGAACATTTAGTGTAGTCTTTTCTTTGCAAACATAAAAAGTTAGACTGGATAGGCTAGGTTAGAAAATTATAGCCTTTGTCTTCCCAAAAAAGAGTGCAACTTTGACTATTTGATGTGTGGTTATTGCAGCCTTGTTGGCATATCACTGATTGGAAGAAAACCTTCACTACCATCTCTTATTTTATGCCTTTCTCTACTTTACATACCATCAACAAAACATGTTCTGCCACAAATAATTGAAGCTTCAAAACAACTTTGTAGTCAACTTAGATTATGCTTAGTCACCCCAGGCAACCACATCATGAGCATGGTAGACTAGTTAGTGATGCAGTTGGTCTGACCCTCAACTAACCAGACAATGACTACTGACTAGTAGATGTTTTGATAACATTGGTCTCTCAGTACATAGAAATGGTAGTAATCAGAAAAGAGACTGTAATGGTTTTGTCTTTCAGCTAAGAGCTCAGATGTTAACATAGTGTACATTTACTTCAAAAGAATAAAGGACGAGTTTAGTTGGGGGTGACTTCCAGTTCTTGAAAGTTGTTTCGAGTTTCAATCATTTCTAACAGAAGAGGAAAATAGAAGAAAACGGCCCATTAAACAAGGTCTTTCTACATATCCAGTTCAGTTTGGTTTCCTTACTTAATTGATTCTATTAGGTTTGGTTTCCTTAAAGTCAGCAGGTTTTCCACTCTACTATATAAGAAAAAAATACACGATAAGATGCAGCCATGCAGGGAGTTGGTTTCCCTCTTCCTGATGCAAGGAATTTTCTTCTTTTCTTTTTTTAAATCATTTGGGAACTAAATCACTTCCATCACACAAAGACGAGGGAAAAAGGAATTGGAGAGAATTGGAGAGAAGAAGACCAGAGCCACTAAGAAAATTTAGCTCTCCGTATCTTTCCATAAAGAGAGGAGAGCAACAAGATAGACCCATACTACAATTACAAATAGTAGAAGCCTACCAAGTTTATATCACAATTCACAAATCGATTATTTAGCGAAGGGAAAAGTCCCAATTTCATACACTTGCCGTAGCTAGCCACGACACAGAAACTCAAACAAATGATTTCTTCTATTATTTCCTTTTCTTTTAAGTTAGATATATATCCAAAATTTAAACAATTTATATGCCCAGTTGTCGAAGGATCAGAAAAGTTAGCACCAACCAGTTAAATCAAACAAATGAAAAGAAAGAGAAAGAGAAGAAAACAACAAAAATAGAAAAACACGAAAATAGATTATATAGCGGAAAACGTACCCAGATCGAAAATTGCACACAGTTCAACGAATTTAGAGCTGCTCGAAGAAGAAGAAAACGCGAATTTCAGAAGGTACAGCTTTGCGGGAGGAAAAAAATCGATGAGGCACAGTGAAAAAAGAACTGGCGTAGAGTCGCGTAGAGGACTGAATAGAGGGAGAACCCCACCCGTCCCAAGAACAAGAAGAAAGAAGAAACTTATTATTAGTCTGTTTCAAAACGTAAATTTTCTCACTTGGGTGTATTTGGTTTGAATGAAACCCGCATCAAATTCAACAGCTAACCAATCATAACATCTGGTCGAAGACCACGAAAATATTATGGAAGAAAGTTGCCCGCTTTCAGGACTTTGGGCTGCCCTAACTGCCCGTTTAGTGCAATCGGAACCTACTATGCAGACCGGCAAGACGGAATCTACCACGAATATGCCGTTGATCACTGGGTTCGTCCGTTAGCCAAGATAACACTATTTGTTTATCTTATCTTAATCGAGTCTTTTTCTATTGTCATATCTTGTGTAAAGTGTAAACAATTAGGATTTTAATTAATGTGAGAATTGAGGGCGGGACTAAGGAGTCTCGTTGACCAAATTACCCCTAGCAATCCAATCTTCCAATTGGGCAATCTTTTTTTAAGGAAAGGGTAAGGCAGGACAGGCCCAATTAAGAATTCAGAATTCTAGTTCAGTGGATGCAGAATTAAAAAAGACATGTAAATACAATTTTTGAAAACTTAGGATAGATTTTCACGCCAACTAAGCATTTTTGCTATACATATGAGGTGGCAATTCAACGTGGATTTCATGTCACATTCTTCTTTATTTTTCTTTTAATTTCGAAATTATCCTTGATATGTAATGAATAAAATGACCTTACTTAAGAAAAGAATGGTCCATTGATCTCTCGCACTCTCCTCTTTCACTGTCTCTCCCACTTTCAACTCTCTTCCTGAAAACTCTAGCATTTTCTCTATTATTAAAAACCCTTTCCAGAAAYTCCTTCTCTCTCTCTCTCCCACTCCTTCTCCTATTATAACTCTGACATCGTGCTCTAAGCATTTTTGTTTTTAAAGTCATCCCTAAGGCATTACAACTTGTCGGTTGAACGTCAATTGACTAACATGTAGCATTCTTGTTTCACAATAAAGTTGTTCTCCTCAATCCAATCTTTGATAAACCATCAAAGTTTCATGTAAGTTATCGTTATTGTTTTTTATTTTCCAAAATACCTTATTATGCTTTGCAAAGTTTGCTAGTTATTGAAACTTAGTCATTTTTTTCAGATAAGATCATCTAGATTAGTTCTTGGTAACATATCGGTACTCTGTCAGTATATAGCTTTACTAAGATGATTATCCTGTTTTTTATGTTCAGAAACCTATTTCTAAGGCTTAGGTATTTGACTTGGAGTTTCAACTAATGGGCTTATCTTAGCTTGTATAGAAGTTGGGGTTTTAGTTTATGGTTATTTCACCTAATATAGAACTACTGGTTCATTCGACTTTGATATTTGGAATTTAGTAGAAATTGTAGATGAAAATTTGATATGTGGAAAAGCTTTATGTTTTCAAATAATCATCATTACCGAATGATCTCTTGCGGCTTCAAAATCGAGATTTTAATTTCTTAATCAACCCCATATAATGTTGTTGTTCAAGGCTTTGATGATGATGAGCTAACTAACCAAGGTTGTTACCTTTATTGATTAAAGGCATCACCAGCCTAATTGTATAACCAACTGCTAAGGATGTCGCCTTCATTGATCAGAGGCATCACCGGCTTAATTTTATAACCAAGTGGTAAGATTGTTACCTTACTTCATTGATCAAAGGCATCACTAGCCTAATTGTATAATGAGTGCTTCCTGATATAAGTTGTTGAACCTTGGATGAACCCCTTACTGGGTAGATAGGAGACTATGAGTGGATATAGTTGGATTGCTCTGCACCTATTTGCCTCCTTGCCTTGTTTTGTTATTAAGTTGTGTTGTCTGTCCTAGCTCAACTGGTCCATTATAAATGGACCAGGTCCAATTCAATCCAATGAATATTTTGGACCAATTTGGATTGGTTCAATTCAATGTCTGGACTATCTAATTTGTTCAAATTCATTTTGATTTAGATTGGTTTCAACCTAAACCCGGTCCATTGACACATATTCTTATCTTATATCAATGGACCAGATACTGGCTTAATCCAACCCAATCCAATATAAATTTGTTATAGACAGACCAGGTCCAATCCAATCTAATAAATATTTTGGACCGGATTTGTCCAATCCAATATGTCTTGTTGGTCCGTCCAATCTGTCCAAATTGATTTTCGACTGGACAGGGTCCAACCCAAAACCAGCCCATTGACACCCTTAAGCTCAAATAACAAAAATGATTGTTGGAGAAAATGGATTTTTTTCTTTTTATTATTTTGTTTTCATCTTTTCCTTTGGGAGTGGGAATAGGGAGAAGGGAGACCATATTTTGTTACTGTAACACCATAAAGATGGACATGGCGTAATAGTTGCAGCTATTGTGTTCTTACACTCCTTATATTAGGCTTATATGCTTTAACTACCGTCTTAATAGACATTTACTGAGATGGATTTAAGTTGTTAGGTAAATTGATTGGCAAGGACATTACACCCTCAATGTCGTTGATGTTGCAAAGTGATGATCTCCTTAACAGCGAGATAAGATAGTCCCAATTCAGAATTCAGAATTCCAACCTACCTGTATTGTGTCTTAAAAAGACTTGTAAGCATAACTTTTGGGAAGTTTGGACAGATCCCCATGCCATGTTATAGATTATTGTCTTGACTGATTAGGTGGCAAGACAACATAGATTCTGCATCACTTTTCATAAAACTTACAAAGACTAAAATGCCCTTATTACCTGTAGTGTGTCCAATCATTGCATTCTTTCCTTTCCTTTGTGTTCCTGCAACTTTAGCTCATGAACTATCTTGAATTTTATGTTAGTAAGGGTATGAATGAAAATATGAAAGTCATTTGCACATTGTTTACCTTTACATATTGTTCTTCATACCCTGAATGCTATCTTTATGAACATTTACCTAGCTACTAAATTGATAAAATTTACTAAGATGGGATAAAGGGTCAGTTGCATTTTGATCGCCATCATAGATGCTTAACACTATTAGTTACACTTTGATCTCCTTCCCATATTGGCCTTGAATCCTTTAACTGCCAAATTGGTAAAATTTTACTAAGATGGGATTAAGGGATTGATTTATATAACATATGGAAGTCTTCCCATGCATATACATTCATCTACTGATGAATCAAGTTGTCAATTACATAAGTCAAATAATGTAATTGGAAAAAAAATTGCACAACACCTTTTTTTTAGAATATATATCAATTATATTCAATAACAGGATAAAGTCCAACCAGAGGTTGTACAAAGAGGTTACAAAACATAATCAAACCACAATCCCATTGGGAGATACAAATATGTTTTCAAAAAAAAAAAAGAATCATAGAGGGAACTATCAACTTTAGTCTAAGTCAAATACCAAGATTACACATAATAGTATCAGTTACATATTAATCACATCCTAACATTGGTCTTGAAGGTTTGAATGTCCAAATTGCCAATCAGGTAAATATTTACAATAATGGGTATGAGATATTGGCCAAGTCCATTGGTATTAGTAACTTTCACTCTCATTTTAATTTCTTTTTTTGTAAGATAAAGATTTGTTTTTTTATCATATATAGTAATGGTTATTGTATACTCACAAGACAAAATTCCTCTAGCAAACCTAAGCAAAGATATACACATTCTTCAATAGATTTATGACATGTATGACTTACCCCTGACAACTATATATTTCTATGTTGTAACCTTTTTGCTCCTATTTAATTATTGTCATTTATAATGTGCTTTTCAAAATTTCTTATTTGGAGACTTATAGTCTTCCTCTTAAAAAAATTAGCTATGGTTTACTTCTACTATTTCTTTGATTATTTGTGACAATTTATAACATGAATGATAGTTGCCATATGTCTTTATTCTTAAAACCCTTCCCTTAGACCATATTGGTGAATGTTTACTAGGTTAGCAGTTAGGGCATTGAAGTTAAATTTTAGAGGGTGAGTAAAGTATAATTGACACTTAATGTATGACATTTTCTTATACTTTATGCATAACATAAAAATGAATAATGGGTATACATGTATTCATTTTTTAAATCAACCACATACACTCATCTTAATAAATTTTGACTATATTAGCATTTAAGACATTGGTTTTCAATTTTGGAGGGTTATTAAATTGCAATCACCACTTTAATTTACTTATCTTGGTAAATGATGTGAATTATTGATAAAATTGATTAGTAAGGACATGACACCCTCTATTTCCCTTCATATTGCATGGTGATGATCCCATAAACAACTATATGTTAATTCTAGTTATTATAGTCTCAACCTTTATATTTTAGCATTATTTGCCATGACTGCTAACCTTGTGCAAAATTATCAAAATAGGTTTAGATTATTAGTTGCATTGATTGCTATAGAAATTACACTTTCATTTTGCCTATATGGTTCATGGTGATGGTCTCCTTAACAACAACATAATGGTGTCAATGTTCATCCTTCCTATGCTGGCCTTAAATGCCCTAATTACCAACTTAATAATAATTTATCAACATAGCTTTGAGAGATTGATTTCAAGAGTATGAAGACATGGTAACTGATGTAGGCGCATTCGGCTGGCCTGTACGGGGTTGATGCGTGTCAAATAGAGGGCGCCAGGATAGGCTCACCATGAGGATGCTCGGAGTTACCCAATGTGCCACATGGCTCTGATAGAGGATCTTTCTAGGCCCTCGTACGGCTTGCATCTGGACCATCCGAGCCTAACTACCCCCTGGCAGCTTTAACTATAAATACAAGGTAAGGGATTCGAAACCTTTGTGATCTCTAGTGCTCTCTCCTCTAAGGACTTAGAGCTATCTGAGACCTCGTCTAGACTCCTCGGCTCCAAACTCACTACTTACCTTGTGCACATACTAACTTGATCGTTGGAGTCTTCGCCTCGGGTTCTCGTGAAGGAATGGGAGATCCATCATATGGATGGCCGAACCCTGCAGGAAGGTTGAGCAAAATTTCAAAAATTTCTTTACTCTCATCCGGGAATCCTATTCCCAATTTAGAAAACTGCATTTTCAAGGTTTGTTTCTTGTAACCAAACTGTACCAAATYTGAAACCAAATTAAGGAAGGAATATACCTGATACAGAATCATGCAAGAATGCTCCTCACAACGTAGGTGTTCACGCCCAAAG